GGGGGGGGGGGGGGGGGGGGGGGGGGTTTATAAAGTTGGTTGACCGCTGTAACATTCAACGTACAGTGTACCCGTATCTGTGTATTCCACGGTCAAGTATCCAAAACGATCACGTTCACTGTCAACTTACACTCGCCCAAAAAAAAAGAAGAAAATTGAGGAGAACTCAATTCCTTCACTTGCATCAACCATCTATTATGAAAATTTCAATTCAACTATTAAAAAAAATAAACTCGTCAAGTCTCAACTTGAACAAAATAATCAATGCTGAATGAACAATTTTTTCTTTTCCAAGTTGAATGAAAAAATAATAATAGAAGAAATAACGCATAATAGCAATTGTCACGAAGCACAATGTCACAAAAAGATAGCGAGTGAAATGGATAAGGGTCCCCTCGTAGCGTAGGTGTTGCTGACAATCACCTGATTCCCACTGCTCTTCTTCTTCATTCGCATCTCAAAAAGTCCCATTGAAACTCCATTGTCAAACAACACTTATCCCTCCACGCACAGCTCCCAATCAAGTGTTCATTATCTTCCCGAGGCGTCGAGAGACAAAAACTCAAGCAATCCAATTCCACCTTTCAATTCCAAAGAAAAAAAAACTCCAAAACAGCGAATACTTCAATTTATCCCCAAATGAAAAATTTCCCGATGCAAAACACCTCCTCATCAATCCTCAATTTCGCATCACCAATTAATGCGAAAAATGAGTAAACGAATAGTTTGTTATTGTATACACGCACACGTACAACTCAATCCCAAACGAACGTGCGTGAGGCGACGGAACGAAGACGTGTATTATACTCGATGCTACTAGGCCTGTGTTCTGGCCAAGACTAACGCGCTCGCGCCAGTGAATTTCTGCAGCCCTCGGGGGCTTTCGGCGCCGGTCATCCCTCCAACTTGCCACACACAATACCACGCACTTTTAGCACAACCCCGGCGAAATTATTGGCCCCATCCGAGCAATACACGTTGCACACGAGGAAGAAGGAAAAGATGGGGGAGAGAAACAAAAAAAAATGTGAAAAATGTCATTGAAGTGCACAGAAATACGTGATCGTCTGGAGTGTCTCGAGGGATCTCAGTAGATGCGATCGAGTCTCCCACCCCTGCCGCCCCTTGGCCCAACTTACCCCGCTCGGTGTGTTTTTCGGGGGGGTTTGACTGGCAAAAAGAGGGGAGAACTCGGTGACAGGGTGGTAGGGATTCTCCGTATTGCGGGAAGGTGACTGCGGGACAAGACTTATTCGGCGACCGACGCTGAGGCCGTACTGTGGCGCCGCGCAGCGGTAAAACTCCCGCAACAACAG